TGCAGGTAAAAGGTTAAAGGGCTGGGTCCAGGCAGAGGGAGTGCACTGCAGCCAGGTGAAGGGTGAAGAAAAAATGCCGCTTTGATACCTATAATTAGAATCTATAATTAGATATCCAAGAAAAGTTGCTAATGTGGTGAAAATGATTTTCAAAATTACCTTGCCAGCTGTAGGAGGGCCGATTGTAAACTCTCTTCACCTCAAACATTCTGCAAAGCCTCTAACTACAAACCTGGCCTTGACCTTAGAAGTCTCATCTGGTAGAGTCTTTGTCACATGGTGGGGGTGTATGGAAAAGGTCTATCTACATCCGAAGTTATTCAGAATTCTTTATAGTTCTGTAATTTTACTTTAGCTCTTATCATCCTATCTCCATAGGATGGGAGCATTGCTGACCAGAATTTGTTGTGCCCCCTTGAATGCAAATCGAGGAGGTATTGGTGAGCCACTTTCCAGAATCACTGCAGTCCGCTTTATATAAGTAGAGTTGAATGGCCACAATCATAAATGTGAAAAACAATGAAACTTGATGCAGTGATGAAACAATCAAACATTACATTTATATATGTACTAGTTATCTTAACAGAAGTGTGCTTTGCTCAGTTACACTGTTGCAGACATGGTACAATATTCATGATTTTTTTTTAAATGCTGTATCATTGTGCTCTTCTCAATTTCATGTGTGATTTGATGCTCAATTTCAAATATGAAGTAATCATTAAGTTTCAAATCCTGCTTAAAAAGATTCATGTCATGATTGTGCAGTTATGATCTGATCTGACTGACTGGACACAAGAAACTAAAATCATGGCTGCTGCAAGTCACCTGACTATACAAATGCAAACTCAACATGGATTAAAGAGAAACATGCTCAAACATCTGAAGTCTCTTGAATAATAATGTCGACTATTGATTGCAAGTTCTAGCATACGCTAAAATTGAGAAATAAAATTTGTGATAGGCCCTTCACTTAACCTCATTTGATAGAATATTTTCCATACACAAAAACAAAAAAATTGCTGGAAAAAGCTCAGCAGGTCTGGCAGGATCTGTGGAGAAAAATCAGTTAACGCTTTGGGGCCAGACCTGCTGAGTTTTTCCAGCAATTTCTGTTTTTGTTTCTGATTTACAGCTTCTGCTGTTTTTTTTAGTTCTTATTTCGTATATTTTCCATATTTTGTTGGAATCTGCTGATAGGAACAAATGTAGCATTTATTATGCCTTACTCAAGTAGCAGGCTGAAAATCAATCCCTGCTATTCCCACAATCATCACAAAAGTTAAAAAATTTATGAGAATATACAAAATTCACTTTACCAGTCTTTCAGACCTAGTTGACAGAAAGCATGGATCAGTTTCTGTACTACAATAAGAATGACTATTTGTTACAAATAGGCACAGATACACAATTATGAATCGTTGACAAAAGACTCTGCTAAAACTGTAATTCCCATTTCCCCCCCTCCTAATTATAAACATCACTCTACCCACACACACAGACAAGACCAAAATGAAAGGTTTTAGAGAAGAGGGAAGGACTGGGAAGGCATTTCAGACAACCCTGCCCACTAGGTTCGTGAAGTTGATCTTTTTGCTCATCATTACGCTGCTTCTTGGTCTCTCTTCTGCAGATATTTTGTTTGCAGGAGGCACAATGCAACCAGTTCACACATATAAAGGTTTTAATTTCACAATAAAAAAGTCTCAGCTTACAGAAACTGAAAATGGAAAACAAACTGGCCGCCTTCAGGTTTGAGATGCTTTTCATTGTAGAAGGAAACAACATTTTTATGTATGAGGACAGCTTTCAGATTGGTTTGTTAGTGGACTCTAACTGGTAGACACGTCACCATTGAAAATGTGTTTGTTAGATGATGACAGGCAGCTGTAAGCTTTGTTTACATTTAAACCTTGCTGGTTGACTGATTGGTTCATTCCTAGGGACAATACCTTGACCAGAGAATGGCTGTCAACTAAAATAAATGCAGTGTGTCCTTGTTCTTTTGTCTGTAATGAAAAAGGACCCTGTGTATTGTTACATGTAGCTTCCAGGATGCAGAGAGGCCAAACTATGACCTCAACTGAATATTAAATTGGTTATCAGCATAATTTTTAGCACACTTGGGATAGTGTAACATGTTATCATCTCACAGAATCACATCTAATATTGGAGACTGTACTTAGACTTTTGCAAACATGGGCTAGAAGCTATTAGAAACAAGGCATTGACTAATCAGAGCCAACTACACTAGCTGAAATTTTAATGTTAACGCTCAGTCATCTCCCCAATATACTGTACAATTGAATTTCAAACTAGATGAGGCTTCTTAAAAAAAAAAAATTCTTTTTCTTTCAACTCCCAATATGGTTGTATGAACCTAGTTCAAAAAGGAGTCACTGTACAAAATTATTCAACTAGCTGACATTGTAGAGAGACAAAAACGGTAAACACTGTTGAACATACAAGTAGCACAGTAACAGAGCAGATAATCAAAGTACTGAATTCAAACAAAATTTTTTATATCTTGCTGAAAGTGTTTGCTGGTATATGTAACCATTTGCTTCCAGGAATTTGGACTTATAACAATGCAGGTGCAAATGAATGAAAATCAATCTATTCCCAAGCATCCCGTACATTTAAGATTATAATATTCTTCTCAGAAATGAAGTTTCTGAAGTTTTACTCATAATGAAGAGCGCTAGCATCGAATGAGAGAAAGGTCGAAGAAAACAACATTTGCAAAGTGACATGGCTTCTTTAAATTTCCTATCACAAGAAGCAGCAGATTTTCAGTGTCACCAATGTTGCTGTCGACCATAGCAGCAACATGATCCTCACTTTATTTTCTATGAACATTTCATCTTTAAATACCAATGAGCAACCTGGTAAAAGAAGGCAAAAAACTGTTCCATTTTATTCACAATAAAAGCATTTTGGTATATGCATTCAGCACTTCGGCAAGACCATTTTGGAGCCGCTATCACAGGTTCACTCGTGATTCTGCATTCTAGCTTGCACTAACTCTGTTCTGATTGTTTGGTATGTTCATATGACATGGGTACACAAATTCGGATAATCTGGAGTTACCAGCCCAGAATTCTGGCTTCTCAGAGGCATCTTTCTATTGTATTGCCTATTCTGTGGTGGCAAAGACTTATAACTTTATAACAACCAGTGTTTCGGTATGTCAGAACCTGATAGAAAGGATGTTGTTAAACTTCAGAGGGTACAGAAAAGATTTGCAAGGATGTTGCCGGGACTGGAGGGTTTCAGTTATAGGAGGAGACCCAATAGGCTGGGGTTATTTTCCCTGGAACATTGGAGGCTGAGGGATGACCTTATAGAGGTTTATAAAATCATGGGGGTATGAATAGGGTGAGTAGTCAAGGTCTTCTTTCTAGGATTGAGAGGGTGGGAGAGGCAAGAGTCCAAAACTAGTTGGCATAGGTTTAAGGTAAGATGGGTAATGTATGAAGAAAGACACAAGAAGGAACTTTTTCATGCAGAGGGTGGTGCATGTATGGAACAAGCTGTTACAGGAAGTGATAGAGGTGGGTACAATTACAACATTTAAAAAGGCATCTGGATGGGTATATGAATTGAAACACTTTAGAAGGAACGTGGGTCAAATGCTGGCAAATGGGACTAGATCAGATTAGGGTGTCTGGTCAGTGTATATGAGTTGGACCGCAGGGTCTGCTTCCATGACTAATCATAATTTCACTGAGACATTGATACAAAAATCTTACTACTCACAAAGCCACATGACTACTTGATTTCATGTCAAAGCCAGTACAGAACGATTATTTTTAATGGGGTTGTCATTTTTTTTGTTTACATACCAGATCAGTTTCGCTAGCTTTCTAAGTTGCCATATATGTGAAACAGTGATCCATGTGAATAGAACGTTGTCAGTTGAAACAACTTCCTAAACAGCTATTGAAACGAAATCAAAATCTGTTGGCCTAGAGGCCAACAAAGAGGGCGCAACCATTCCCTTAAATATAAACATGCCAAAGTCCATCTGATTCAAATATTCAAATGGAGATCATCTCAAACAGCCTTAAGCTTACTAGGATAAATCCTCAACTTACTGTCTGAAGATTACAGATAAATTGCCTGTTACTTGAATGCAAAGGAAATTTGGAAAATTCTGACCATCAAAACATCAGTTCGTCAACTTGCTATCAGTGTTTACAATGCTTTAAGTTTGCTTGCAAAATATTGCCTTGTGTAAAAGTTACAGAATTAAGAAACTTGCTATCTAACCTGGAGACATTCAATAAATGTTTCTACCTTCTATGTTTTAGACCCTTCACTTAAAGAGGTCAAAGTTCACACAGACAAAAGTACATGTTTGGAAAGTCAAGTTTAGAAAACTACAGATCAGGGCAATTATCAGAATTATCACCTGCATCACATGTACTTTGAATAATACTGATTTTTGTTAATAAATCAACAGTTGATCAATAAGGAAGAAATCATCCCATTCCTTAGTTGGCCATATTAACTACTCGACTCTAAATGGAATTTGGAATTCAATGGAATTCAGAAAAAGAATGGGATCAAGTGTTAAAAAGGGTCTCATCTAGCAACACAATTTCTTTCCTTTAGGAAAAAAGCATGTTATTTCAGTCCTTTCCCCATCATACACATCTCTAACTAAGCAGAATTCTACAGAAAGTCAGTACATAATAAGTAAGACCTAACAAAACGACTGAGGACAAGCTAGCCTTCCAGTCAATATATCAGGTGTAACTTCCAATGACAACTAAAATGAGGCGGGGTGGCAGTTTGCAGGAACCAAAATCTTAAAACTTCTTGACAATGTCATCCTCATGCACATATATTTAAAGCTAACTATGGAAGCAAGCTGAAAAGAATGTTTTTGACCCAGCACCATCAAAACTACAATTTTAATCCATAAAGAAATATGGGAAACATCATAATCTCCTAATTTTTAATGTGTATATTAGAACTCAGAAAATATTTGCACTTGCCTTCACAGGTTTCCAAAATGTGCACTGTATCACCAATCTGCAGAGGAAGTTCCACTTCCTCCCTGGAGTCATAATTGTATATTGCTGAAAACAAGAAGAAAATTGAGAAGATGATTCAAATTTAGTTCTATTTACAATATAAATAAACACTGCGCGATCATACCAATTATTAACATATCAATATTTTATAGCATTACTTTGAATATCTAAATAAAAGTAAACAGCACAGGTTTTTAATTGGCCCTGATCAAAAGATTCCACTAACTGTAAAACTATAAACGCTACTTTCAAGCAACTTTCATAGACATAAGCATCTTAATATTGATTGAAGCAGCAAATAAAACAAATCCCTGGACAACTACCACTGCTATTCATGTGGTTATTGTCTGAATGAAACTAGCGAGAGTAAGTCATCAGAACATCACACTAAAGACACTTAACTGGACACTTGGAAATTTGTACTGATGTTCATGGATATTGGTTATCTATTTTTTTTGGCTCATAGTAGACTGACTGTCCGTCTTAAATCTAGATGTTTCAAGTAGTCAAGACACTACCAGCAAATCTTTGCCTTTTTCAAAAGTCACAGATAATACTTAATGTTTAACTAATACGTTGGACATCATCAATCTAATTACTATATCAACACTTAGTTGAAGACAAATGCAAATTAAATTTAGTGTCATGAAGCTAAATTTAAATTCACACTTTTCTCCTGGAAGATCACTAAATTAAATACTAGCAACTTTCCTAAAGTGATTGCAACAGACAAGCAATTGCATGCTGCTTTGTGTACAAAGAATTGCTTGATAATACAGAAAATGATGAACTTCCAGGTGTTTCAAATCAGGATGGACTTGCTTACTAACCCTCTTTCATGCAATATCAATTGTTGCTCCCTTAAAATCTGGCATTTTTCGCAGCAATCCTCATGAATACATGGCGAAAAGTTAACAGCTTTCTTTCTTCAGCAATTCATATTTTTAATTTATCAAGAAACATTGCTCATTTTATCACAGATATGTTTCACATCACTTGTTGCAGCTGAACTATAATCCTGCAAAAGTGCTGATTAAACCAGAAACCCCACTGCAGAACTAAATCTCTAGCAGGTAAATCTCTCTTCAGAAAAGGGATATTTACTCACAATTCAGACATCAACTCTCATGCTAGTTCATAACATTTGCCCATTGGTCATATTGTTATTAGATAACAGATGAAAATATCTTCAAACAAGTCAAGTTCACTGATGGAAATCAAAATAATTTTTCACATATGTAATTTGTAACGGATTGTTCCACATTTGCTCTGGTTTGATAGATTTTAAGTTATACACCAAAAGACTTCACAGATGATTTCAGCAAAATAAATTGGTTCAATGAGCAAGTTATTTAGCAATTGGAAAATAGAGAAAACTGAAGAAATGTCAAAGTAAATGAAGTGCAAGGAATAGCCCAACACTTCTGTCACTTTCAATGCAGAGCTCGTTCAGCTTGCACTGTTGAACACTATGGCTTATCCATTAGTTCCCACATTCACTGTGTAAATGCACTTTTACTTCACAGCAGAATGGCAAATTTAAGAAAATATACATAATATAAACAAACTGCAGAAAAAGCACAGGCAATCTGGCAGCACCTGTAGAGAGGAAAATCAATACTTAATGTTTCAAGTCCAGTGTGACTTTTCTTCAGAACTCTTCAAAGGAGTCATAGTGGACTCAAAAGAATTAACCATATTTCTCCACAATGCTGTCAGATCTGCTCCTATTGTGTGTGTTTTTTTTTTAAGGATTTTGTTTTTATTTCAGATTTCCAGTTTCTGCAGTATTTTGCTTTTATTTGAATGCAGATTACAGCAGCAAAATCGTGCACTAGTTATGAGAGGCAGATTTAATACGGCACACACAAGCGATGGGTGTTTACTGATCTGAATTAGATTAACATGAAGGAGGCAATTTATGGAATAAACTCACCAATGTCTTAGCTAAAAATATTACATTCAAATAGGAGATATTCCAAATTCATTGCAGAGAAAAGAATAATGATACTTGATTAGGAGAGATGAAAGTGAGTATAGGACTTAGGTAGCTTCATTCTTACATATTCCTGCACTGTTTAAAGGTTAGAGCTTTGAGTAAAGCTAATTATAGAATTAACATACAATATACATTTATTCCTATCTTTTAATTTTGAAATTGCAAAGGGAAATAGTACTTCGGAATTAATGGAAATATGTAGTCTCAAATATTACAATGCAAATTTTTGCGACAATATCTTTCAACATCTGACTTCATTTAACAAAGTTCAAATAACCAAATGTGGATAGAAAGTATAGTAACATCGCTACAATCAATTTCATTTCAATTTATCACTTCATCAATTTTCAATGAAAGACCAGAAATCTTTTCCAGTTGACCAGCTTATATATGATATGATAAGCTTGTGGTTGATAGTACTCCAAGTGCTAAATAAAAACGGAAAGAACTGTGGATGATGTAAATCAGAAATGAACACTGAAACGGAAGGGTCACTGGATCCGAAATGTAAACGGATTTTTCTTGGCAGATGCTGCCACACCTGCTGAGCTTTTCCAGCAATTTGTTTGTTTACTGTATTTTCTTAACGATGGCTTCATATTCAATATTTTATCTGGACCGGAGTTTGAAGAACTGTGGAGACATCTGTTTTTTTTTTTTAAAAGAAATGGTAAACAAAAAGGCACAATGGAACTTTTCTTTAAAATGACATAGTCCCAGATAATTGCTGCTCTGGTTCCTTAAGTTCACTTCAGGGAAGGCACCTGGCTCTTTTTTTCTTCCTGGGTTTTATGTCCATTCTGATTGAGCAGACTTGGAGATTGTGTTGTCATTACAGTTGGGGAAGCTTGCATAAATGAGCTGCTCAGCTCATGTCCCCTTTATGGAGCACTTTTATGGAGAAACCACCATGAAACCTGACTGTCCACTTGAAGAATGACTGGAACACTTTGCAACATTGTTTTTCCCTGAGAAAGATACATCTTACAAGACCACAGAGACATCAACTGTGTTGGTAGCACCCATCTGCACAAAGCCATAGTGTCCAAGGCAGGACGGTTGGGTGTGTGTTTTTGGGGTTACCTAGAGAGAAAACATTTACACTTCAATATTATAAACTGTGGTAACCAATTCTACATCTTTATGGAGCAAGATTTAGTAGTACGTCAATCTTGTGTATTTATTAAAGAAACATAGCTGATGGATTTTTTTTTATTCCAAGTCCAAATGATTGGCCATATCAAGACCTCGGTAGAACAATTAAATATTTGTTGTGACCGATGCAGTAGTGAGATTACTCTCATCTCGGTCATAACATAAGATTTGAAGCTGTCATTGGGTTACCCAACGCTGACAACACACGATGTGAAGATGGGTAATAGAAATCAGAGAAGGATAAAAGTTAAGACTCCAGGTCTCTTGTGCAACATTAAACAAAAAACAGCTTTGACATTTGCTACAATTCTTCTGTGGAGAAAGACATATCCCTCAGTAATTTGCAATAAGTAACCAAGGGTAGTCCACAACATTTAACATTGCAAAAAAGGAGGAAAGCGAACAAGATGATAAGTCAATTGAATTAAGTAGCATTCAACTGCAAATGATGCAACTTAAATTTTTAAAAAATGAAAAACAATCTTGAACAGGGAAAAGAATTAGAACCGAGAAGACTTAAGCTTCAAAGAAAAGATAAGATAAAAAGGGGGCATTTCAGGAAAGACAGTAAAAACTGGAACAAAAAAAAGACCTCTGCTTACAGGGAACATTCTTACGGGTAAAGATCGGAGTCCAAATCAAGATGCAAAGGGAAGTTGTTCAAATACATGCAAACACTCCCAAAATTCAACAAAAGGGATACCAAGTCATCTTTTCACTTATTTTGAAAAGATAGCTATGCAGATGATGTGGCAAAAAAGAAAACTGAACGCTTTTCACACAAAGTTCATTGACAGGCCAAAGCTCTTTCTTAAGGGTTCTTTAGAATCTTATTTAGATTAGCACCTTTAATTTTCATAGCAGCTTTCAAGGACCATTTCGCAGGGAATTAGGAGGATATTTGGTACCTTTACTAAAAACATGACCTGGATCCCAGAATATCTTTACTATTTCAGGATTTGGTTACTCAATTCCCAGAAGCCATTCGCTTGAGAACAATTACTGTTGCAGTGCTAGAGAAGTTTTCTTCTATTCATTCACGGGATGAGGGTGTCACTGGCTGGACCAACATTTATTACCCATTATTGCTCAATAGGACAGCTAAGAGTGAAGTACATTGTTGAGAGTCTGGAGTCACATGTAGGCCAGACCAGGTAAGAATGGCAGTTTCCTCCCTAAAGGACATAAGTGAACCAGATGGGTTTTCCTGACAATCGACAATGGTTTCATGGTCATTTTTAGATTCCCAATTCCAGACTTTTTATTGAATTCAAATTTCACCATCTGCCATGGCAGGATTTGAACCTGTGTCCCCAGAACATTATCTGGGTCTCTGGATCAACAGTCCAGCAATAATACCAGTAGCCCATCACCTTTCTTCTAATCCAATTCTTCACTCAACATGGATTACTGACGGAGATCTAGATGTATCAAGTTTCCAATTTTACATTTAGAATTTTTTTTTTTTTAAAAAAAGGAGGTTTGGAAGACTCAGTATAACACAGATGAAGTCTTCAGCATACCACCCATAACCCACACTATCTGCTTTAGAAAGCACATGTCAGACCATCACTCCAAAGAAGTCAATCTGGATGTTCACCAACCAGAAACCTCAGATGAGCCAGGAAATCTACTGAAGATCAGGCATGCAGCATTCAAGTCGGACGACCCAGACCTATACAGAAAATCCAGATATGACCTCCGCAAAGCCTTCAGGGATGCCAACAGGTAGTGCTGGACCAAGTTAGAGGCATATGGACACTCGCCGCCTCTGGCAAGGCCTAAACAACATAATGGGATACAAAATGAAACTTAGCAAGATAGTGGACAAAGACACATCCCTCCCAAATGCTTTCTATGCTCAGTTCCAGCAGCACAGTTTTACCTGCCC